TCCAATTCAATAGACCTCCGCTCATATTGTCCGCACGGCCGAACGGTCTAAACGGGCGGCCACCGATTGTGGACCATCTGGTTCGTGGTCCCCCCCCCCCCATCTGACCGTCTAATGATGTCTATATAGCGATTACTACAACCTGATCTTATTTGAAAAAGAGATCTCTCTTCCGTGTGAACTTCAAATTAAATAGCTGAAGATGGTTCGGAACGGATTTGGGACAAGTTTTGGGTCTAGAAATGGTCCAAAATTGTCTAAAACAGCCTTAAAATGACCGAAAACATCCTAAAAATCGCCTAGACAAGCCTAAAAACGGCCTAGAAAAGCTTAAAATTAACTGAAATAACCTGGAAATGGCCTAGAACAGCCTAAAATAACTTGAAAATAGCCTATACCGACCTTAAAATTGCCCAAAAAGAGCCTAAAACATCTTAAAATGACCTATACCTGCCTGAAAACGGCCTAGAACAGCCTAAAATCGCCTAGAAAAGCCTAAAAAACGGCGTAGAACAGCCTAAAATAACTTGAAAATAGCCTATACCGACCTTAAAATTGCCCAAAAAGGGCCTAAAACATCTTAAAATGACCTATACCGGCCTGGAAACGGCCTAGACAAGCCTAAAAACGGCCTAAGACAGCCTTGAAATGACCTAAAACAGCCGAAAACGACCTAAAACAGCCTAAAATGGTCAAAAACAAGCCTAAAACAGCCTAAATGAAACCTGAAAATGACCTAGAAAATCCCAAAAATGGCCTAGACAAGTCTAGAAATAGGCTCAAACAGCCTAAAATCGGCCTAAAACAGCCTCAAAACGGCCTAAAACAGAGTCTAGAGCGGTCTCTAAGTCAAGGATTACTGTAGTCGACACGTCTCACGATGAGCAATCCGTGTTTGTAGACCTATTTCAGGCCAATCCTAACCGATTTTAGGCAATTTTTGACTGAAAATTGATGGAAAAGGATTACTGTAGTCGCTAAAAACACTAAAAATGAGCAATCTATGGTTTTAGGGCTATTTTAGGGTGATTTTAAACCAATTTCGAGCTAGTTTTGACCATTTAAGACCGATTTAAGGCTATTTTTAGGCTATTTCAGGCTATGTTAGGCTGTTTTAGCCCAATTTTCAGCCAAAAAAAAAAAACGCTACCTCTCGTCGTATTGGTCGCCGTATTGACTTTTTGACTTCTAGAAGATACTGACGTCTTCTGTGTTCTCTTCTTTGACGTCTTCTGAATCGAATCATCCATCAATTCAGAAGATCCAGTCGCCAGACGATGTTGTTCGATTGCTCCGGATTCAAATGCGAGGGATGGTTGGCTGGAAGGTCTGGAAATTGAAATTTTAGGCCAGAATTAGAGGTTTCTGCGGATTTATAGGCCGTTTTAGGCCCATCTAGGTACTTTTTAGGCTCTTCTAGGTCATTTTTAGGCTTTTCTAGGCCAATTTTAGGTTCTCCTAGGTCATTTGTAGGCTTTTCTAGGTCATTTTTAGGCCTTCCTTGTTCATTTTTAGGCTCTTCTAGGCCATTTTTAGGCCCATCTTGGTACTTTTTAGGCCCTTCTAGGTCATTTTTAGGCCTTCCTTGTTCATTTTTAGGCTCTTCTTGGCCATTTTAGGCCCATCTAGGTACTTTTTAGGCCCTTCTAGGTCATTTTTAGGCCCTTCTAGGCCAACTTTAGGTTCTCCTAGGTCATTTGTAGGCTTGTCTAGGTTATTTTAGGCCTTCCTTGTTCATTTTTAGGCTCTTCTAGGCCATTTTTAGGCCATTTCTAGGATTTTCTAAGTCATTTCTAGGCTTGTCTATGCCATTTTTAGGCGTTTCTAGGCGATTTTCAGGCAATTTTTAGGCTTTTCAAGTTACTTTTACGCTTTTCTAGGCCATCTATGACGTCGAAAAGTTGAAAAATCTGTTTTGGGAGCTAGAAACCAGAAAAGGCTGTAATTTTCAGGGAACAAGCACCTGCCAGTTGGGGGAAAAATGAGTCATTTGATTATTGAGAAGTGAGCAATCCACGGGTTACTGTAGTTTTCAAAAATCCTGTTCTTAGGCTTGTCTAGGCTATTTTTAGGCATTTCAAGGTTATTTCTAGGCTTGTCTAGGCTATTTTTAGGCCATTTCTAGGCCATTTTCATGCTTTTCTAGGTTATTTTTAGGATTTTTAAGGCCTTTGTTAGGATTTTTAAGGTTTTTTAAAGGATTTTAAAGCCATTTTTAAGCTGTTTTAGGCCATTTTTAAGCTATCTAGGTCATTTTTAGGCTCTTCTAGACCATTCTTAGGCGTTTCCAGGCAATTTTCAGGCTTTTCTAGAAAATTTTAAGGCTGTTTTAGGCCATTTCCAGGCATTTCTAGGCCATTTTTAAGGCTTTTCTAGGCCTTTTTCCAGCTTTTAAGACTATTTTTCCATGGTAATAGCTCTAAATAGCCGGAAATCGGTTCGAAATGATTTTAAAAAGCCAAAAAAACCATCAATTGCTCATGATTATGTGTTCCGACTACAGTAATCCTTGACTGTCATTTTAGGGGTTTTTCGACCATTTTAGACCAATTTTCAGCGATTTTAAGCCAATTTTTTCACATTTTCAGCCAGATTTCAGCCATTTTGCGTCATTTTTGGGTCATTTTCAGCCATTTTCAGCCGAATTTTGGCCAAATTCCAAGTACTCACGGTCTGGTATCATCGTTATCAGTGTCCGTCGTACCAATACACCAATCACTATCCTCCCAAATTTCTCTCGTTGATTTTCTCTGCTCTCTCTGCGTCTCTTCTCTCTGATCGACGAGTTTTTTGGCGCGGGTTACCTGGAAATTAGGTCTTTTCAGGCTATTTTAGGCCGTTTTAGGCCCGTTTTAGGCCAAAAATCGTCATTTTTCACGAATTTTCCATCGACAATGAGTTTTACCTGCACAAAAAGCGACTTTTGTGATTGTCCTGACGACGTGCTGCACACAGAGGATGCTCGATCGCTAGTCACACTGGAATCGGACAGTTTTCGCTGAAAATTTCGATTTTTATGGATTTATAGGGTGAAAAATAGCGGGAAATTCGAATTTTTGAGTTAAAAATTCGTATTTTTTGGCTAAAAATTGAATTTTTTTAAAAAATTTTCAAAAAAAAATTTTTCTCAAATTTTTGTTTTCAGCACCCCTACCTGACTTTTAGCCATGATTTCATTAAAACTATTGCGCATTTCTTGCAAATCCACAGTTTCATTGTGCTTTTTATGGGAAATTCTGGAAATTTCCGACAAATTCAGGGATTTTTGGGGTGCATTCGCCTTTATCGGGCTGATTTTCTTCTTTTTTGGGGTTTTTCGACTGTTTAGCGTGCTCAGATCCAGCTTTTGTGGGAAAATCATCGAGGTTTCCTGGAAAAATAGCTTAAAAATCAGTTTTTCGGGGGAAAAATCGATACATCTGGCATAAAAGTCGGGTAATCGCGATGCGAACTGTTGGAATCGATGCCCTCGTCGTTTTCAAAGTACATTTTGCTGAAAATTCTGTCTTTTTTATGATTAAAATGTCGTTTTTTGATGTTTTAGTGCAAAAAAATCCATAAAAATCCGTTGAAAATTGAAAAACCGCGCTTTTGGCGGCACTTGGCAGCGTGCCAAGGGGCGCGCGCTGCGAGACCCACCGCCTCGCTAATCCCATGCGCCTTTAGTTTGTCGACTAATTTCTGCGCATTTTCTATCGATTTTCGTCGATTTCTCGCCGGAAAACGAGGATTTTGAGTGAAAAATAGCAAAAATTAAGGTGGAGAAGCTGAAAAAATGGGGTTTACCTCGATTTTCCGCTAGGAACTCGA